TTTTGCATTTCTATCATCTGCAAAGGCAAATGACTTCACAAGAAGAGATCAGAAAGTTTTGTAAGATCATCATAATAATAATCCAAAGTTGGGACCGGAAAAGAACCTTGTGGACAAACCTTTTGGGTGGCGACATGAGGTGCCACCCAAAGTAAGCTCGACCCTGTCTCAGAAATCAGAAAAAAACATTAACACATTTGAGGTATCTTCATTTATTTTTAGTAATTAAGAATAGCAGGCACCAGCATTATCAAAAGCTCCTCAATATCAACAAAAATTAAAATAGTGTACAACCTCTCATCTTACCCCTCTGCAATGTTGCTAAGGACGCAGAAGTGCATCCTCAGCACATTTTGAGCAATGAAACCATATTGGTCAGCATAAGAAATTTTCTTTTGTAGATGCCAAGTAATTCTGTTAGTAATAGTTTTCAAAACATTACCTAAAGAGAAAGAAGAGATACACCTAAGATATTCACATGTGGAACAGTGATACTTTTTCTGGGTATCACAATAACAAGGGCGTTCTCCAAGTTCGTGGAAAAAAAAGCACAAGATTCAAACATATATTAAATAATCTATGAAAACTGCAGGAAAAAACGATGGAAGTATCTTTGGTTTCATTGGGAATAGAGTCCGGGCCAGGAGACCTGCCAAGCCCTAAATTCGATTACGTCATCAACCTCGGCCTGCGAAAAAGGAGGATCAATCTGAGACGCATAACTACTGCGAGCAGATGAGAGCCACTGAGTATGAAAGTCATTATCAAGTCCACACAATCAGGAGGAAAAGCTTTATCAAGAATAGCATCGATAGTTTCCTCCAAGGAAGACGTAAATTACCGCTTGAAAGCCGAAGGCCCGAGATCTCAATCTTCCTCATAAAATTTTCTTAATACCATAAGTGTAAATTTTTTTCCACACATTCATTATTGAATCGGAAAGAAGAAACTTCCTCCAAGACTCTAATTTGGCCTCAATAGCATTTTCATTGTATTTTTTCCTTAAATCAAGGTATTTCCGCTTATACAAGTCCCTTATATCATTGCTAGTAGTCTCTCTGGAACCTCCGTCTAGCCGCGTTGACTCTCTTTCTCATAATGGAAATTCCAATGACCACCAAGACTTTTCGCCTACCAGTCTTCTAATAGGCATAGATTTAATACATGCCCGAAAATAACTGAAGTCCTAAAATCTACATCGCATTAAGTGAGTCAGTGCTCGAGCAGAATCCAACTTAATGATCAAAGAAATATATGTGAACAATATTTTCAAATATCCCCAATTTGCTTTTTTTGTATTAAACAAAATTCTACTGACAGCAATTAAAGAAGCATCAGAAACAGATAAGTCGAATTCTCATTGCTGATCTGACAATGATCCAGTCCGAGAGACCCAGGGGTAACATTTGCTAGCAAATCAGCTCCAATTGGACATCTATATAGCTTGATCCCTGTTCCGAACCAAAGGTAGGGCCACAGTCTCATGATCAATATAAGTTATAGGAGCTGACAAAATCTCCAAGCTTGTTTCGAGCATCACTGTAGGGACTAAACCACAGTTCAGACATTGGAATCCATACCCCAAATAAGCTTTGCAAGATCCTTAGCCTGGAAGACCCGACTTATTTTATGCAAATCAAATTCAATACATCGGGAGGGCTCAAAGTAGTATGAAAATAGAAAATATTTAGTATCTTTAAAAATAATATCAAGAGTCACATATTAGCAAGTGATTGTTGAGAAACAAATACATCCACAGCGTATCACTCTTTGGTACGAATTTCGGGCTGGACGCATCATCGACCACTTTTCAACGAAAATGCTGTTGGTCAGTCAGAGTTAATGGTACTCGCTTTCACGAATGATAATCTAGGTTTTTTTTCCTAAATTGCAAGATGGATTGTGAGCGTCATGTGGTTTCAATACATAAGCTCGAGAAACAATTCAATTATTGTATACCATGGTCGCGTAATTTCCCGTTTTGGTGATCAGAATTGGCCGCCCAGATAGTATGATTCAACGCCGTTGGACTTTTTTCTATGAGGTTTTTTTGAAGGTTTATGTCAATAAATCATCTAGTTTATTCTGATATGAAAATCGCATTAGTTCCTATTGTGGATGTGCCATTTACACGAAAAATTATGAAAAAGGCGCTATATCAGAAAGCAAAGCACCTCCAGATCTAATTGAAGCAATTTCCCCAATTTCATTTTACCGTGGCATCCAATGGAATCTGGTTCAATTTTTTAGTAATTAGCACACTGCCCACCATTGAAAATTCTCGAAATTATTTCTCGAATCGTCCCGATAATTTCGGGTATACATAATGAAGTTCAGGCGTCTCATTGAAAATTCTCGAAACTAACTCTTGAATCGTCCCGATAATTTTGAACATAGGTAACGAAGTTTACGCGCATCATTGAAAATTCTCGAATCATCCCGATAATTTTGGATATTGATAATGAATTTCATGCGCATCATTGAAAATTCTTGAAACTATCTCTAGAATTCTCTTGATAACTTTGGACATAGATAACGAAGTTCGTGTGCATCAATGAAAATTCTCAAAACCGCCTCTTGAATCGTTACGATAATTCTGGCCATATGTTACCTATTGCTAATAAATCTAATAGTTCATGCCGGGCTATATAAACGCTTCGTCGAGCACATATTCCATATGTCTACCAGCCGAACTTTTCAGCCTAACTGTTTAATTTTGAACTGTCTTTCAAATACATGGCAAATCAAAACTAACGTTACAGGAAGAAAACATACCTCTCACTACTATAATAAATTGATTTCTCAAATGCAGGTATAATATAAACGCGTAATTCTTCATATTCTTCATATCGGCATGCACAGTTGTTCGATGGGGAGGCCTTTTGTAACACGGCAGACACCTGCACAATAGTTTAGTTCCTAAGATCTTGCCAAGTAGGTGAACGGATCCCCCATATTTTAACTGCTGGACCCATAGAGACGGTCGGTCAAATGACGTCTCGTCTTGAATTTCTAAGTAAAGTAACTCAGAAGAAAGTTTAAAATAAATTATTATCAAACTAACAGTTACATATTACAACTTTCCATTGGGTTATCTAAGCTGTGTGCCGAAAATAAATCTCAAATGGAGTTTGAAATGGAATCTGCAGGCAGATGATACTTTAGAAAATAAAAGATCAGACTTTAAAAATAAACGTTTACGGGAGCAAAATTTCACATTATTGCCCGAAATTTGTAGCGATCAAGCAGAAATTTGATCTCGAAAATTTTATTTTTTGCATTAAAACTATATTAAAAATCGCTTATTAAATTTTAATTTATCTCTTTGCATTTTTTAAATTTTAATAATTTAATTAATCAATTCTTTTAATAAATAATAATTAATATGAATTAAATAATAATTATTAATATCAATTAAGAGATTATTAATTCATTTGACATTCTTTAAGTGTTTAATTTTTTAATTATTAATGATTTTTTAATAGTCATTTTATTTATTTATTTACTCTTGTTCCTCTTTCCTGACAGTCTTCCATAGGGCTGGGGCACCTACTTTTAGAAATTAAGCCCTGTAGATTCTCTCACGACAACCAAGTAAAGTAACTCAACCTGATATAACCTAAGGGTAACTCAAAAAACGTTAATAGTGTTGAATTTAATTTTATTGTCCTAGGGAAAAAAAAAAAAAAAAAAGGACTTCACATGGATTGCAGTACCCGGTACTTATCGTATAATTGACCACAATTTTGTAAAAATTATGACACTTTACTAGCAACTGCTTTACTAGCTATTGTTGTAATGTGCTGCCATCTAGTGTTTATATTAAAGAATATAATTATTTTATTCCATGGTTTAAAATAATGCACTTGAAATCGAAGACCAAGTAGGATAATGAAGTTGTTTTCTGTGGATCTCAAGTGCTCACTTCCCCCTCCTCCTTTCTTTTTTTTTTTTCTTGATTGATAAAAATAGGTTTATGATGAATTATAGGAGGACTCCGGGAATTGAAAACTTCGCTTGTAATCAAGATTTGCATTTTAATTTCATTTGGAATATATTTTAAAATACTGTCCTCTTAAATTATTTCATGGCATCATTATAAATAAGAGTTTTTTAAGTTTAAACTACGTTTTTTTTTTTCCTACTATGCGTGTGCTGATAATAAATTCAAGCTCAGTATAATTACAGACTGCATTTAGATTTACATCCAGTTGCAGTATCTTTTCTTAAGCTTGTTCAGCTTATGAAACAAAGTTTTTGTATTAAAACCTGAATTTTAAAAAATGTTTATGCACTACCTATATTACCTACTATTTTTTTTAAGAAAACAATAACAATTAGTAAAATGTAATCTCTCCTTGCAAAAACCGCAAACAAAACGGCTCATTTCATTTCGTGTGATAAACGGAAGAAAGATAGTCATTTAGCAATAAATTAATGCAATATTTTCAGTACTCTTCTTTAAAGTGCATTCAAATATTAGGGAAGCTAAAAATTTCACGAATGGCATTTTTGGATCCTGATAGTCATATAATATTGAAGCAAAAAAGTAGAATTTCAAATATTTAGAATTTCTTTGTATATTTTCATCAGTATTTAAGTATCTTAATCTTGGAGGTGTATACATAATTAGATGATTGTAGATTGTTGATAAAAAAAAAAAAAAATTAGAATGTATTCAAAATTGTTTAGCAGATCTGCATAAAACTTACTGTGCCGTGACCAGGATTCGAACCTGGGTTATTGCGGCCACAACGCAATGTACTAACCACTATACGATCACGGCTCATGGTAACTTTTGCTGAGTTATGATGATGAATGATATCCTTTTAAAAGTTTTATTTTATTGTCTTTCTTGTTAACATTTCAGTTATTTTCAAACGTAAATGAAAGCATTTGTCCAACTATTTGAATGTTTCTGATAATAAACAAATCATATAATTCTGATTTAAATGTATTCACTTCATTAACCAACGATTAAGGTTTACAATAAGAGAAAAATGGCTGCGCAATTGTATAGGGGTTATTTACGTGTGTGCGAAAAATGGGGAGTTGATTCATCTAAAAAAGGACGGGATCTCGGTGAATTTATACGCACACAAGTTGCGAAAGAATTTGCACAAGGAGAAGCTACAAGTATATCACAATTTAAAGACTGTGAAAAGAAACTGGAAAGTCTGAATCGACTGGTGAGTAATCATTACAAGAATCAGTACCAATTCAAGAAATCAACTGCAGCTAGCCGCTTAACATACGAAGAGTGCAAACAGATATTATCTACAGAAGGATTAAAAAACCTCAACGAACAAAAATTAGGATTCATCGAGAAAGTAAAATTGAAGCTTCTGAATTAATAAATTGCATTGGACATGGTTGAAATGAAAATAATGTTTCATTAGCACAATTTCGTAGATATTCTAGTGTAACTTATAAATTAAAATACTAGAATTGAAATGTGTATGGAGACAGCTTCGTAGAAAAGAAATATTTTCTGTTATAAAGTAGTATTTACTTCATTGTTTTGGTTTATTCAAGTACATTGTTTTGGTGTTTTCTTTGCAATATATTATGATCTTCAATTTAATTGTCTTTCATTATCTGTAATAATTATTGGATGTTAGTTCAAAGTATTTTATAAACTAGCTAGCAATTCTTCAATTTAGTTAATAAAAACTTACAAATTCATATCTACTATGGAACATGCAGAGCAGCTTTCCAGTATTGTATAGGGGGGAAAATGTTTCTTACTGTTATGTTTGGTTTGACAAATTTCGGTTTCAGATGAAGACTTATCAGTTTTTTTCCTATGTTAATAAGTTTCTTTGATAAATCTTTAAATTTGTGCATAAATATATAGAATTTGGGGTTCACTCATGCCTAGTACTTTTTTAGTATTTTGAAACTGTATGTTAGCATTTTATAATTAATAGAACTATTATTCTCAAATACTAATATACAGATTTGTAACATCATTATCAAAATGTGAAGGTGTTATTGCTAAATTTTGAATTCCCAAGGTGCAAAACAAAGAATACAAATACTTAAAACTATGTTTACATACTAAAAAATAACATAAAATTATATTTTTAACTTGATTGTTTGTAGATTGAGTAAACTTGTTTGCATTTAAATGTGCCATCAACACTGCAGTGTCAAATATTGAGTTGCAATGGGCAAATCGAGTTAAAATCAACAAATAAACTCTGATTAACATATATGTATGTTCGTACAATGCAAGAAATATTTGTATATTTTACCAGATGGTAAAATCAGTAAGCTGTGTGCAGCTATAGGCAAGTGTGTAATTAAATACTAGCCTAGGTTACAAATAAATGAAGAATTTGAAATACTCAGTATTTCCATAGTAATTTCTGCAGTTAGCAAATAGTTTTTTTTTTTTTTTTTCCTTATTCCCACTAAATATTTACATGGCAAAAAAAGTATAATAGTACTAAGAATGAAAACTACTAGGTAAATCTGTTAGATGAATAAGCAAAGTGTCTGTGCAAATGATGCTTATCTCTAAGTGTAATGTAATATTAATCTTTTATATAATTTTGAAACTAGTGATTAGTTAATTGATTATATCTTGTATTATTAGTTCATTCAGTAAACAAACAACAAAGTGGAATGACATAATTAAAAAAACTTTTTACTGACAATTCTTTCTTTGAAAACAAAAACATTGTTGAGAAGATAAAAGCAGCACATTCAGTTTGTCAGTAGGTACCACCGTATACATTTCTTCAAAAATTTGTTTAATGCCTATTGGCCTGTAAGAGAAAAAAATCATTTTATTTTTGTAAAAAAATAATTGAAAATTTTTGAAAAATAAGTAATTTCAAAAAAGATACACTGCTTCCAAAAATTAAGTGCATGACACAAATTCTGATTTCTGATTCCATTTTTTAATCATCCTCCCTTTTCATTTGGTGAAAGGCATGGGACCACAGTTATCAAGCATCAAAACATCTAATCCTCCCCATCTTTACATACACAGATTTTTCCCGTTAAATTTCTCTAGCTGTGGTTCTTGTATTGCATATGAGTTCCATATAGGTTCATCCCATATGCAAATTTATTTTCATAACTTTATGATTTCAACTTGCAATGCTGGTGGAATCTAATATGATTGTCCTTACACATTACAACTAGAGAAAGGAGAACATCTCACAACAACAAGTATAGTACAAAGTCTTTAATTCGGACGTCCATAAGCCGGACCTCAAAGCTGCGAACATTCTGTGCCTGCATAAACGTATTGCATGCGCATATGCATTTACACATGTGCATAATACCTTTATGCATGCGTGTTTAATGTATAACGGACGGTATAAGCTAGGCTGAAATTATCTAATTATCTATTTCAGTTAATGTTGCAGATTGCGTTGTTCCTTAATCTTCTAATTGGATCCGGCTTATTATTTTTTGCAGACTGTTAGAGCAAATTTATAAAAAGTAAGCTTGAACTTTCGATTATCTCTGTTTATAGAATTAAAGAAAAAGTATTAGCACATAAAACGAAGCAACTTAAACAACTTACACTGAAAGAAATGTTTAATAAAGTAAACAAATAAATAATAAGTTTTTTTTTTTTTTTTTTTTAATTTGGATATCTTTTAGATCATAATTGCTCTTTATTTCATAAATTATGGTTTCATATTTTTAATTTTATCTGCATGCCATCTTACCAGAATTAAATTGATGATCTATAATCCGGAAAACCCCCTAATCGCCAATATCCCGACGAGTCCGGATTAAAGACTTTGTACTGTATTGTACTACTGATCTGTGTAATTGTTAAGCAGAAAATATTACTAGAGCTAGTAAAGCTAAGAAAAAAATAAAATTTACATACTGAAAACTTTCAGATTACAGTCTCAAAAAGTTTTTACTAAAAAAAATATCTATTTGAAAAATAAAAAATTATTAAGATTGTAAGATTAAACTGAACTTTGATATGTAGATTTCTCTGTGACATCTGAAAGCAGTTATGATACATCTACTCTAGTCTTTTTCTTTGAAATAGGCTCTTCGAGACCATTACTACCTTCTCCATTTGCTATCATTACCAGGCAACATTTAATTTTTCCATATCATTTGAGACTGCTGTCCCAGTCAAAATTCATGAAAAATAGTTGACTAATTGTGTTGCCATACAAAGTTTAAGGATACTATACTTTTGTGTTGAATATGCCTGTACTTTGTTAAAAAGTAAGTAAGATGGATTCAAAAGTTGCCATCAGATGCAAGCCAAAGTTGCCGAAGCACCAGGTCGATAGCAGTATTTCTTAGATTTCTGGGTAAGGCAATTTAGTTTCCAGTTTGTAGACTGAGTGCATTATCATAAGCTTTGGTGGAAGAAGATTCCCAATCATCCTTTATCTGGCTTCTGGTTAGCTAAGCCACAACCATAAGTTAGAGACAACATTATGAGTCTCCAAAAGAAATGTTGCAACTGTAAATGTATCCTTTGAACTGGTTAGACAAAATTGCTCTTTTAGAAATAATTGTTTTTTCAACTAATATAATCAGTCTGATATGGCTAAGGTTGCATCACAGTATGTTTTAAACATCATTCATTACATAGTCATCATAGGTATATTAATACTAGAAAAGCTCCAGGAATTTACAGTCTAAGCAAAAGGTCAGTTACTAAAAGGTAATTCTGTATCTACTTGAATTTCTCAAATCTTCGGAGAATTTTATATCTCATCAAATATGTTTTTCTCTTTCCCTCTCTGACAAATTTTAAATTTCCATTTTTTGTTTTCGATAACCATTTGCAGAGAAAAATAGACTAGTACGTGCATTAAAAAATTTGAAAAAATTCATCATTCATGTTTTAAAGGGAGAAAAGTCAGTTTTGTGACCTATGAAAATTTCAAAATGTAAGCAATTGGTTTACTGATTTGGATACATAATAATCAAACTTCATCACTGTTGGAAAACTTTCATTAGAGATTGGGAATAAATTTCATTTTGAAGATTATTTTTCAATCGCATCCATTATACAGGAATTGAAATTCTGTTATGGTTAGTTTGGTTGTTAAGTGAGAGTACATAAAAATCACAATAGAATAATCTGCTGTCGTAGTAAATGCGTTTTGTGTACAGAATTTTTAGAAAATGGTTTGATAGAAAAAAGTCAAAAACTTATTTTATGACAGAGAAACTCAGATAAAGTAAATTGTGTAATAAACTGCAAAAAACTAAATTTCAAATCAAAGTGGAAAAAAATTGAGAATAAACAAATTATGATCCTTTCAGATTTATTTAACCACTTGCGCTAAAAAGACATGCCACGCATGTCGAGATGCTTTTGTCTCAAACCGCGAGTGAGGTGAACACCACGTCGATAGGCATTTATCACAAAAATGAAAATATCGTGGTGCACACATCGCCTAACAATGAGATTGTTTATTTCTGGAGTTACAGCTCTGGATTGCTCTCGCAGACGCGGAGCGTTGTAAATGAGACACTTTACCGCTTGTTATATTACAGCACACGGCACTGCAACCGTGAAGTTTAGCCGTAGCGCAAGTGGTTAAGCTTTTTATACTCAAGTTATCTGACTGAAGGAAACGAAACTATAACATTAGTCTTGATTGTGTAATTTGAATTGCTAAGTGGCTTAATCACATAAAATAGGAAAATGATAATCTGATGACTTGCTGAAAGGATATGCTATTTAAACAAATTGAAATTTAGAAGTTTTTAATCAAGCTGAAATTTTAGTTCAAAACACCATAAAAAAGATGGGCTACTTGTCTGAGTGATTACATGCATTATGTTATGATTCAACAATACTGGATGCAGAACTGTTTGTCTCTCTAGAAATCAAGTACATGAAAAAAAAAAAAAAAAACATACACTACATGAATAACAGCACAAAAAAGGAAAGGAAGGGGGGGGAAATAGCTTCATGAAAAGCAAAGCATTTAATTTGCATTAAATTAATTTTGCTGGTTATTATGTTAAAACTGTATCAAACGCAAAAGGAAATCCTGTCCGAGAAGTTTGCTGCAAAAGGTATTTCATGAGCAAATCAGAGAGTTAGCTACAGAACAGGAAGAATGCAAGAATTATCATAAATAGTACAGTCAAAAGTCGTTAATCTGGACTCGTCGGGACTTCGGCGATTCCGGATTATAGATCATCAGTTTAAATCGCGTAAGATGGCATGCAGAAATTCTAAAATTAAAAATATGAAACCGTAATTTATGAAATAAAGAACTTTATGATCTAAAGGGTATTAAAATTTACAAAAAAAAAGCTTAATATTTATTTGTTTACTTTATTAAACATTTCTTTCAATGTAAGTTGTTTAAGTTGCTTCGTTTTATGTGATAAT